TTGATTTCTTTGTACATTTCTTCTTTCAGATCCTGTATATTTTTTATCTTTTCATCGTGTTGTCTGAATTTTCTTATATCTCATTTAGTTTCCTTAGAATAGTTACTCTAAATTCCTTGTCTGTCATTTCAAAGACTTCCTGTTGTATAGGATATAGCACTTGGAAGTTATTAATTTCCTTTGGTGGCAATGTACTTTCTTGACTTTTCATATTTCAAGTTTCTTTCCTTTGGTGTTTTATCATTGTGGCCAGGGGTATCACAGTCCACTCATTTCACCCTGATGTCTGGCTTGGATCCTGAAGGGACTGCTGCTCCTGGGTAGCAGAAACTAGCCTGGGCTGGAAGTCCCACCCTGCCTTCCTTCTCTGGCATGGCTGGCTCAGGGTGTTGGGTCCCCAGGCCTCTTAGGACTCTCCTGGTGGCAGGGATGGCCTGAGCCGGAAGTCCCACCCCACCTGCTTTTTCTGGTCTGCCAGGCTTGGGGTGTGTGGGCCTAGAAGCTCTGAAGTCTCTTTATGGAATGGGAAGCAAACTGAACTGGGGTTCCGTGGTGGGAAGCTCCTGTCCACTCCAGTGCTGATCTTGGGTCCTCCATGGCTGCTCCTCAATAGCTACAAATTGGTTGCTCTGTAGGAGAGAGTGACACCAGGAACAGACTACTTTGCAATCTTGACCGGAACTCCTTCAATTGCTTCTTAAGCAGAACTTCCCATAAAGTTTCCAGTTCATACTTCCATATTTATTTTCTCTTTGAGGCACATGGTACCCAAATTTCTGAGCCTTTCTGGGGCTCTGTGGGGATAAATCAGCTTTCTTCAAGGCTTTGCTTAAGTTTCAGTTTCTTGGGTCTGCTGTGTGGGTTGCACACTCATTCATCTCTTGAATGAGCTTTTATTACTGGCACCTCCAGTCCCATTCTTTCTGACCTGAGGGTTCATGTATGTGTTCATTCTGCCAACTTCTAGTCCTGTTACTGATTGTTGGACTTGATTAGGGAGCCTCAGGAATCTCTAGGAGAGGCTGCCAGAGCTGGAGACAGCAACCACACATTCAACCACTCATGTAAGCACTAGTAGAAGGAAAACAAGGTGTCTGGCTGCTGTGCTGTGCTTGGAGCCAGTTGCCATCACCATCTAAAGATTTCCTATTTTCTTGATTTCTCCTTAACCTTATGTATTCCTCCTTTTTTCCAGTATCATCCCAACATTCTCAAAATTGTTCCAAAAGTGATCCTTGCCCCTGAATTTGCTTTCTCTTGGTATCATCTTTTCTTCATTCTTCTTCCTGATCCCTAATTCCCTAGACACGTCCTTACCTCCACCTTTCTCCCTGGACTCCATCCCAATGGTCTACTCAAATATAGGAATATTTGAAAAGTTACAGGGAATCATAAAAGATTAGAAGAACAAAAGATTTTAGAGAGCATCTAAGGTAACATTTCTCAAGGAAATTTCTTCAAAGAAGTGAAATAAAAATCACAAAGGGGCTTTGTGGCCACACATAAGTTTGAGAATGGCCATTAACTTAAATACCAAGGTTTCTGTACTACTAGCCTTCTTGAGGTTTTTAATTTGTTAATTTACTTTCTAAATCCTTTAAGGGGTGGCTGTAAAATATGGTTTTAGCAAACATAGTTTGTTCTTTTCTTCTAACTTCCTTCTTTCAAATCCTGAACCGCATCAACCTTTTATTTGTTGGACAAGCTCATACATCTGTTGTCTCCTTTATCAAAAAATCTACTGAGTACCTTGGATGGTTTATAGTAAGTTAATAAGCTCGTTATTCACTTAAAAGTAACCAAATTAGGAACATAAACATGCTTAATTAATTTACTAAAGTGCCTTGAAGAGGTGACATAAGCATACAGGTGGAGAATAGCTAGATATAGCATCTTTCTTTTTTTGACAAGCCTCCTATTGAAAAGTTACTGCTTTGAAAGTTGAGTTGCCATGAGGCCCAGGGACACTAAAAGGAGAAGGGAGTATAGTGACTGAAGAACCATGGGAGGGGACGTCTATGAAGCAGAAAAAGAACAAATATTTGCTCCTCTGGTTGAGGAACAGAAAGGCATTTTATTCTCAACAGCCAAGGCATTTTATTCTCAACAGCCATTTTATTCTCAACAGCCATGTCAAATCTTTATACGTGGTTTTGAGGAAGAAACTTGGAGAGATTCTCTATGCATGTGGATGACAATGAACTTTTTTAAGTTTTGACATTCTGAACTATTGGGAATAGCTACAGAGACTTCTTTTGAGAATATTAATAAATGAATTTTAGTTAGAAATAGGCAAGATAATGCCAATTTCACATATGAGATCAAGTCTTGTCCAGTTAATTGAAGTGGGACACAAAACATATCAGAGCAGGTACAGCAACAACTTGAGACTTCCTGGTAAGAATGTCTAGAAGTCACAGCTGTAAAGTGGTTAATAGCTTAATGTGCTGCTGTGACCAAAATCCCATGAAAACTTTGGCCTTATCAGTAAATATGTTGAA